GCAGTTCGTCCGTTGCCGGAACGGGCACGGGCCTGCCCCGCCGCCACAAAATAAAGAATCACGATGATAATGATAAACAAAGCTAAGATGGTACCAGATGATTGACATTAGATTTTCGCGGACACTGAAGCGAGAAGATGCGACTCATTCACCAAGGAACACTCCCATGCCAACTCGAGTAGCTGTAGATACATTATCCTTTGGAGTAGCAGTCTCAGGAAGGACGGGAGCAGTTGTATTCTTGGGGTCGGTCATCCACAACCTGAAGACTGCAGGGACGTGCGGTGAGCTCCGACTATACAAGAGTAGTCATAATGACTCACATAGCAATGCAGCTGGCGCGACCGGGGGCACTGTCGTGAATGAAAATAATGAAGCCCGGGGAGTAGGCACAGCTTAAGCTGCGGAGAAGACGAGGTCGGTAGGGGTGTATGGGCGACGTATATACGGAGGGAAGAGAGCAGGCGACCAGGGAGGAAGAGGTATAAAAGGGACACCGGGGGATGTCGCGAGTGTATGGTATTTGGTCAGACATATATAACGAGTGGCGGTGCCGCAGGCTAATTGGATGTGCGTGTAAGTGGCTCAAATACTATACGGGCTTCGTGGATTATTTCCCCGGATCTTCCGACAGAAAATAAATGCCCATCGCTGAGCTATAGAAATCGACGAGTATCAAAAACGATAGTCAAACGGCCCACACCAAGCACCCGTCGCGACCTGGGCTGACGTACTGACGACAGAAAATGAAAAGCAGGAGCTTTCGGATTGCAGCGGCTGAGGCGAGGCTGTGCGACATGCGATGCAGAGTAGCCACAAAGCTATGGGAGGTTCTGAGTAGAAATTACAGAGCACAGCATACTCGAGGCGTTGAGATAAGAATCGCATTTGAAGCCCTCCGAGAGCCAATACCAGCCCAAGCTCAGACGGACCATTGCGGGTAGAGCTGTCACCAAGTCATTCCGAGAGACGACGGGGCCGCACATGAGAGAGACTTTATTGCTGGAGAGTAAAGGGTATCAAGAGATGTAGAAAACGTTGCCTTTAGGCCTCGCAAGCTGGCGAAACGGTGAGAGGCCATAGTAAGAGGCCACTGAGCTCGAGCAAGGCAACGACGAGACAAACTAAAACCAGGATTTTAACTCCGCGCCAAAACGGCAAGCCAGCCATCGGCTGCTGTCGGTTTCTGCTCGTCGTGAGATTCGACCAACTCGCCATTCCTCTCGTTCGCGCATCGCTCTAGCTTTAGAGTTCAGAATGGACTATGATCGCAGGTCTGCGGTGTCCTCCTTTTATGGTGCCCGCAAGTCGTCCGATGCCCTCAACACCGACTTTCCGCAACCTGCATCACCACAATATGACCAGCCTCATCATCCTCGAGTCGACGACGCCTCATCGTTCTTCAATCCAAACAGAGCCTCTCGAGCGGGAACAGAGACCTTAGGAGGAAAACAGAATGCAGGATACAATCGCACATCCTTCTTCTATGCTGGGAGGGAGGAGCCGGTAAAGGGCGGCGTGGATGAAGAGAGCATGCTGTCGAACAACAACGACGGGTTCAACATCTACGCTGACTTTAACAATGCAGGCCCGCGTTATTCAAATGCGTTTGTGGGCAATGACTCAGGGTGCGTTCGTGTTCATCAAAGGTATATCGTTACTTTATCGGTCGCCGTAGCTATCGTCAGGTTGCCTCGCCTTCTCCTTTCAAGGAGGAACCCACTGTAGCCAATAAAGTTGAACTCGTCACTGTTCCTGCTCTGGGGCCGGAATGGAGCAAGTCCGAGATGCATACGAACATGAATAGGGAGAGACGAGAAGAAGCTTTACTGTCGTTTGGCCAAAAATGGCGTTCTTGGAATCGCAATGAGAGGGGTGTGTGTGGCTCATTTTTTACTAGGAGGCAAGCGACCTATATCTTGTTTGGACTCTGTATCGCGTGAGTGTCGCTACCTTGTCATGTTTACTCGGCTCATGACATTTTTTCAGAGTTGGAGTTGTGATTGGGGTATGCCTTCCACGTGTTCCATCCATGTCGTTCGCCACTTCGAACCCAGTATCCGCTGCGACAGGATCGTTCAACAAGAGCGTGCCTGTCATCTTCTCGCGCACACCGGCGAATTTTAGTTTCCCTGCAGACGTTAGCGTACAATTCGACACCAGTTCTGCCATAATTCCAATCCAGGTGTCGAGCTTCAGCGCTGTTGTGACAGATCTAGAAAGCGGCAACCAGGTTGGGACAGGTAGTCGAGGAGGTATGTCAATGCCAGCCAAGGCGTTCCCCATGGTGCAAATGCCGATCAACTTCACCTATGTCGCGACAAATTCGTCGGACATTACTTGTATGTAGTTTGTATCCTCGGATTCAGTCCAGACCGCTTAACCATAATCCCCAGGGGCAAGTTGGTATAATGCGTGCAGAGATCCTGCACTCAATGCTAATGATACGCGCCCACGTATGTACCAATTGATTCTTCTGCCTTTTTTTTCCCATCCTGACACTGAATCTAGCACTGCGCTTCAATCTCCAACTCGATATGAGTATTGTCGGTCTTATCGGGAAGAAGAGCATGTCTGCGGCGGCTACTGCGGCCGAGTGTCCGATCACTCTCTCAATCGATAACCCTTGATTTATTCATGGTTCGCGACACCTGTGCTCCTTTACATGACATTGCCTTATTACTATCTCACTCTCCTTGGACCTCAGTATTGGACAATACGTGGACGTTTTAGTCTCATTTCTCATTGTGTTTTTGACGTCATGCATGGATAGTTACCCGCTAAGTCTCGTACCGAATGATGTGTTATTACGCACGCTAATTCACTGCTGTCTCTCATTTCTTACATCTTGTCAATCGTGCTTTGAACGTTTGAATCACGGTACGGTATGTGAGATTCTGATTCTGTCCATAACAGCTATGAAGGATGTAAGCACCAAGGGCGAGGTGGTGATGTCAATACAGTATTTAGTAATAACCAAGTAACGATCAGTAAGTAGTCCTTGCGCCTATTCGCACTTCGACATACAGCTGACAGGTACATTGCACTCGTAATGATTGCAGTCTCGCCCAGGCATTCGCGATACGGGTCCCCGTCTTCTGCTGCTGTCAATTTGCGTGTCGCTCTGTAATGGACCACCAGTACCCCTCATCCTCGTCGGTGCTCAATCGTCGATGCTCAGCCCGCCGTCGTTCCGGAGTGCTCAGCCCAGCCCTGGATTCGACCGCGCGCCGCCAATCATATGACCGGGACGATAGTTCTGAGCGAAACCTGGACCAGACGCTGACGGTGCAGGTCGAAGACGTGGATGCTGCCGGTGGTGTGCCAACCGTGCTTCTTGTGCGGCCTTCGAGGGCGTCAGCTCTAACGCCTTCTTTGCCGCTCTTCCCCGAAAACTTTGCGAGTCTGCCTTGGAGAGTGGCCGAGGACTTGTATTCCCCGAAAGCTCGATGGGAGCACTTGGCGCCGTACAGCTCGTCTGCTCATGCGAGTGGAGATGACAGGACGCCTAGCTTCAGTCCTATACCCCTCACCCCCCGCCCTCGACAACCAGCACGGGAGCCGTCCACGACGTCTGTGACCACAGCGCGCACAGTGGGCTCGCGTTCTTCTCGATTGCCAACTCCGGAGTTTGGTGCACGAGCAGGGGATGTGATTCGCTCGTATCTTCCTCGACTGTTCTCGTCTAGAGAGACGGACTCACAAGACTCTCGGCCACCTGCCCCCGTTCATTTGTCCGGTATTCACAAACACTTCTCGTCCGCAGCTTCAGAAGCGAGCACGGCTCTGTCTATAGCGACCCCACACTCAATCTCTCGTTCTGGCGGAGAAGGCGTTGACCAACGACGCCCACCATTGTTGTCCTCATTTAGTACTACCGACAAGTTCACACAGAAGTTTCCTCGTCCGCGCTCAGTCATGAAGAACCAAATCTTCAAGAGAGGACACAAAACCGCATTTGCTGCGACAATGCTCGAAGAAGGTGAGGGCCTCGGAATCGACACCATCGATCGCTGGTCTTTACACAAGTGGTGTCTGTTATTTTCCGTCTGCACACTTCTCGTGTATGGAGTCGCGGGCCTCGTTTGCGCCATCTCGACATGGTTTCGAAGTGAGCAGTTCTTCGATATACTTTGATTACGATGAGCTCGAGCATTTGACCGTCTCTCCACAGCATGGGAACTGGCGAGTGTCATGTACGTCGCTGACAACGACATCCTCATGCTCATCACTTTTGCCTCCTCCATCATCCTGCTCACCTTCATTGTCGGGATCAGCGGCACCGTGCTCAACTCGCGCCCGATTCTCGCCGTCTACGCTGTCCTCCTTTGGCCCGCGTTCCTCGCGATCCTCGCGATCGGCTACACGTCGTATCACCGCTACGCATTCGCGCTCGACCGCAAGCTGAACCTCGCCTGGAGTCAGTGGTACACGCCTGTCGGGCGGCTCGTCATCCAGGACACGCTGCGCTGCTGTGGATACTACGACTCTCTGCACGAGGCGACGCCGAGCAAACAGTGCTATCCGCGCACGCCGCTCCCGGGATGCAAGGGCAAGCTGTACCGCTTCGAGCGCGAGAATCTTGCGACTATCTGGTCTGCAGCCTTCGCACTCGTACCGGTGCACATCATGAACATTATGATCTCCCTTCTCTGTGCGAATCATGTCACTCGGATTTTTGGCAAGGGGATTATGCCCAAGCAATACTGGTTGAGCGGGGCGGACGTCAGAGCAGATGCGGAGAAGCTCATGAACATATTTCCCGGCGTGGTGGTCAGACCAGGCTTGATCAAGAAACTTTCAAACCCTGCATTTCGAGGGGATAGGGAAGACCGTACCACGATCAACCAGGAGACGGACTGGGATCGGTTTTCAAGCATGCATTCAAGTACAGGATCAATTGGGTTGGGATTGTCTGAACAGTCTTGAGGGGGTACAATATCATTAGATAGATGTATATTGAATGTATCTGACATATGTGAATCCGCTGTTCAATACCGCGTGCGCAAACCACAGTAACTGAAGCAACCCGGGTAAAAGCAAAGGAAAGCGCTCTATGACAAACGGTGCAGTGCAAATAGTACATCTATAATGTGAATGACGGTCGAACGGTCGAATGCCTAGTCCAGCCTACTCGTCGACACCCTCCTCCTCCTCCGCGATCAGCCGCTCGGCCTCGAGAGCGGCCATGCAGCCACTGCCCGCGCTCGTAATCGCTTGACGGTATCGTTTGTCTTGTACGTCACCGGCAGCGAACACGCCCTTGACACTCGTCTGCGTTGTCCCTGGCACGGTGATGATGTAACCTTCCGGATCAGTTTGCAACTGGCCTCGGACAAGCGATGTCGCAGGCTCGTGGCCAATAGCGTAGAATAATCCATTGACGGGGAGATCCTTCTCCTCGCCCGTCAAGACGTTCTTAATTCTCAGGTTGTTCAGCAGGTCACCGTCACCCTGGCACTCCATCGCAACAGTGTTCCAAAGGATTGTGACTTTGGGATTGTTGAGTAACCGTTTTGCCATAATCTTCGATGCACGCAGCTCCGCCCTCCGGACTAGAACGTAGACGTGCGAACCGTATTTCGTCAAATCTAGACGTATATGCGTAAGCAATCAAATCACGCATAGCGGTAAACTATACTTACAAGTAGCCTCTTCGGCAGCAGAATCACCGCCACCAATCACAGCAAGAGGCTTATTTCTGCATAGCATGATGTTATCTTCGCTACCCTGCGTAATATCGCTGCTGACACTGACCTAAATATGGGCACAGCGCCATCACAGACGGCACAAGCGCTGATACCACTCTGCCAGTATGTCTCTTCGCCTTTGAGACCTAGCCGTTTTGCACTCGCACCCGTTGCAATTATTAGGGTATCTGCTGTCTCAGGATCCTGATCTTCCTGGAACTCGCGCCAGTACCGGAATGGTCTCGCAGAAAGGTCAACTTTCGATACTGTCTCGGTAACGATTTTCGTGCCGAATCGCATGGATTGTGCGCGGAATTTATCCATAAGCTCCGGCCCTAGGATTCCTGAGGGGAAACCAGGGAAATTCTCGACTGAAGACACTCGTCAGCAACTCATCAGGATTTTCAGGATACGACAAATGGGGCAAGTGTCGCGCGACATGTCACGCGCCGCATCTTAACTTATTATTTTGCGTGCAGCCTTGCTGCAGCGCGATATTCTCGTCATGCCGAGTGAATACGCCAGTCCAAAGGAGCAGAATGCCCATAGATGAGACGGTTGTGGGTATGAGGGTAAGGAGTCCCGCGTTCGGCAAAAGCCGAGCGTACATAACAGGACTGGCCTGTGCTCTGTTCGCATCCCCCGCAAAAGACTCGGTGCAAGCGGGCGGCTTACGTGCAAAGATGCACCTGTAGGGTCGCGAAATGGCACAGAAACTCACTATCTGTGGTCGTTGTTAGTTGACCGCCTGCGGCGAAGCCATTTGCCATAAAACCCTCAAAGAGGACTGGATTCAGGTTCGCCCGTGCGAGATAGATGGCTGCTGTGTGTCCTGCGGGTCCTGAACCTATGATAACCTACATCGAAGACAATCGTGAGGAATCCGTATCCGCGGGTAGCGATACTGCGCAACATACCACTTTCGAGTGCATCTTTGAACTCTTCTCGACCGTTTTGCTCGCACCGTTTGCGTGGTTGAGGCCATTCACACCGTTCGTAGTATGTGTCGTAGGGGACATTGTGGGGGAATTAGGGGTGCGCAACGATGTGGTGGCGACCAGTAAAGCCCTGTAAAATGACTTGAAAGTAGCGGAACGCAGCGTGAAGGATGGTGTTAGACAGAGGACTTAAAACAAGTGAAACGACGGACAGTCACACCAGAATTAGTCAATCAAGTGATAAAGCCGGTCACGTGATGATTACGCGCCCTCCGCACGCGTCGTTTGAGGGCACTTGTCAAGCGCGAAGGCTTTGAAATCCGCATGATCAAAAAAATCGTCTGTGGAACAATGATGCCTGGTATGCTCACCGGGGATGGTAGCAGATAAAGCGAAAATGACGGTCGCCACAGCCTCGCCAAAAATGGGGGGTTTTTATCCCGTGGTCGGACGTACAGGCCTCGGACCTGGGTATCTCTATGCGCGCATGATCAGAACGACCTTCGCCTGGCTGTGAGGAGAAATTACTGCATGGGGCACCCATACATTGACGCGATGTCCTCAGATTCTATGGTGTCCCCGCTTTGCGAGCGGATGAGCGCGTATACTGACGGGATTGCAGCCGCAGTCGGGTGAACTCAAGGTGAACTAACCCGTTCAGACTGGATCGAGCAGTGGCTGCGCTCCTCGTCGGAGTTTGTCGGAGCTCCGGGACCTGCCGAGACACCGACGCTCTTGCTGTCGACATCGCAGTCGTCGTTCCAAACACCAGCCCGCTCTCTGCGACGTTCATCCCGACATCTTCGACACTCTCGCTCATCATGTCTGACCTGTGCCCTGTATACGCCCCCTTCTTTGGTGTAATGGTATGTTCTATTTCGCAAATGCTCAACGCCTTTCCTGCTGATTTACACCAAATTCTAGGGATGCACCAGTGCTATTGTTTTTACCTGTGAGTTTTGCTTGAACTCTCAAGCACTGCTGCCCCAGTACGCTAGATTACCACCGCTGACGCTCAAAAATTCGCTGCACAGGCATAGGTGCTAGGTATCTCCATTTAGGTCGCCTTGCCCACTCGAATGCTAATTTGCCTGCTATTAACAGTTATGGTACTGCGAAATCAGGAGTCGGCATCTCTGCCATGTCTGTCCTGCGACCCGACTTAATGATGAAGTGTGTAATTCCTGTCATCATGGCTGGTATTATTGCTGTACGTCTGATGCTGAGAGGTCGTGAATAATCTTTCAACTGACCATACTGTCGTAGATCTACGGCCTCGTTGTTTCGGTTCTCATCTCGGGAGATCGTGAGTTGCTGTCTGCAATGTTACGACTTGCTACTTAACGTCTACAGTCCAAATGCGCATGACTTTGTTCCAAGGTTTCGTTCAGTTGGGAGCTGGTCTGTCTGTCGGACTTGCGGGTCTTGCTGCAGGATTTGCTATCGGTATTGTTGGTGATGCTGGCGTCCGAGGAACCGCTCAACAGCCACGCCTTTTTGTTGGCATGGTATGTCTCAAAGTTTCTATTATGTTGTCCTGACCGGTGACTCTCGTGTAGATCCTGATTCTTATCTTCGCTGAAGTGCTGGGACTTTACGGTAAAGCATACTTCTACTTTCATTCTCATTATTCTCACTTCATGTACTCCAGGCCTCATTGTTGCACTCATCATGAATTCATCCGCGTCGGACGCTGTTGGTCAGGTAAGTATTGTGGTTAGGATTGCGTCCTCTGCTGACCCCCATTTTCACAGTGTGGTGCGTAGACAGCTTGAGAACAGGACGTGATGCACCGTGGTTGCTGTACCCTATCTGTGTGAGCAGTCAATCGGCGTTGTAGGTATGACTATATTGCAGATAGACACTCGTACTTTACTAGGCGCTGAATGCTCTGGATCAATTCCCTGTTATGTCACATTGTCACCTAATGTACTGAGCCCTCGGAGACAAGATATCCCAGCGTATATTGCTGACCATGCGAGGCTGAATGTGCTTTGTCTAATTAAGTTATGAGGAGCAGAAGGAATCTTGAGGGCCTTGCGCAAAGGGTTATAAAATCAGCTGCGAGCAGGCCATTCGGTAAATGGAGACAATGCGATGAGGTGTAATAATTATACAAGGGTATAAATGTTAGCGAAATGTGCATATGGTAGAACGTATGTAGTTTGAGATGAAATGATGCATAACTCGTCGGTCGCTGAGGTTCAGAGTCAATAAAGCTCAAAATTAGGAAGATGCTGTCGTGGCTGCGTCCCAGTGGCACAATGTTCGGAGTCCCGTTATGCATCATGCGTTGTACCACACAGCTCCAAGTCGGAGCCGTCCGCGTCAGTATCCACCCAGCCATCCCCTTCACTCACGTCGGCATCTGATTCAGACCGTCTTTGAACACATCCCGTAGACAAATCATGCGCGCCGGACATGCAGAGAGGAGGCAGTGCACATCGGGAGACATGAATATGCTGTTCCCCCTGACTGCTTTTAACGAGCACGTCTGCTTGGGGACCAAATAAGTCGTGGTCCACATCTGACTGGCGACCCAATTCGGTGCGCGACGAGGATGCAATTCCCTGCACACAGTTGTCGCCTGTACTCCGTCCTGTCGTCGGATTCTTGACCTCGTGCAGATGCGCGCTGCGTGCCCAGTGCTTGGCAGACTTCTGTACAGCCGCTGGACTGCCGTATCCGAGCCCCATGCCGCCAGAGCTGGACCGTTGCATGACTGGTCGAGGCAATGCAATGGGAGTTGAATGCATTGCCCCGTGATGGACGGGGCGATTATGAAGAATAAAATGGCGAGAAGCTGGTAAACGATGGGAGGAAGGGGTGCGTGGTCGCACGCCAAGTTTCCGGTTGCTTGGACTGGCGTGCGGTCGTTTGTAGCGAGGAGATTCAACATCTGTCTGGACCTCGTGTGAAGGAAACTCAACCTTTTCAGCTGAAATGCGCATGCCGGAACGAGAATTAGCGGCGGAGGTGACGTAAGGAATGTAAGCTTACTGGTAGTTGACTTCAGCGGACGAGCGGTTCGAGAAGTAATGGATTGAGTGCTTGGGCTCCGACTTCGGAACCGATTCACCCAGTCCCCACTCAGACTCAACGTCCGACGGCCCCAGTCTCGCATAGTCAGCGGGCGTCCGAGTGCCGGGACACGGTAGTGCTCGCCACGAGAGCCACGAGTGAGAGCCAAAAACACTAGGACAGCCAACAATAGACAAAGTTGTGCTATACCAAGACGTTTCTCCAGAAGGACCTGTTGCAGGGCTGAGACATGTGACGGGAATTCGAAAAAAGGTACGTACTTCGTCAGTGAGATGGCCAACCTTGGCAAGTAACTCCCGGTGTTCGTTCTCGAGTCGTCGGCGCTGTCTGTCAAAATCGCGAATCGAACGTTGGTACATCTGCGCCTGAGCTTTTCCCTGTGTGATCATTATTTATAAGTATCGTCTAGAGGACATTTTCGCAGACTTACAATACCCTCCAAGCGACCGATGTCCTCGCCGAGTCGTGTTAACAATTCGCGAACACCTGCAGTCTGCTCTTCCACATATCGAGCGTAGAGGGTGGTGTTTGCCTCGAGTGCTGTCAAACGATTCATAATTGTCCGGTAGATAGACTCACCGCCAGTTACCGGCGGCGGAGCAGGATGGGAGGGGTACTGAGAGGGGAGAGAAGGAGAAGACACGGAAGAGGCTCGAGTGGTCCCGCGGCTCAAGTGGTGCGAAGTAGAGTTCGTTGGGAACGTAGTGGTATCGCTCAGCGAAGGGTCTTGAGAGTCGATGGCAGACGTAGAGGAGGAAGCAGGCAATGATGTAGTTAACGTTTCTGCCGACGCATCAAGTGGCGTGTCCGTGGAGGCGTGTCCGTCGTAAGATATTTCTGAGTGGGATAAGTTATGGTCATCAATATTCATAGTTTCCGTTTCTCCACTCCGCGACGATATTGTCAGTCCATCGTGGTGAGCGGAATTGTCTGAGAATTGTGCGGGTGGTTGAGATGTGATGGTAGGAACATGCATCGAGTCAGACAACAGATCGTGGCTTGAAGGGTCACAGACGCTGCTTTGTGTGTCTTTTATTACGGCCTTTGTAATGAACTGAGGTGTGCCTCTTTCCGTATCCACGACATTGAACAGCGAATTTCCTGCAGGAATATGAGCGGCTTGTGAAGACACCAAGATAGCTTCGGAAGAAGCATTAGCTTCCTCGGACGAATGTCTCGCTCTACTTTCGGCCTCCCATTCACCCCACTTCCATTGCTCGAGATGAGTAAGACCGTACACCCGCAACAGTGACACAGGACAATAATACTCGTTCCCATAGTGGGTGTGGAAATCGACGCGAATATAACGATAGAAATCGCGGAGAGTAGGCGGAAGATGGAAAGACTGTAATGAGCATCATCAATCAATCCTTACAGAAACACAAGAGACGAATAAGTTACCTGAACACCTCGAACATTCAGGGCTCGGTATGTTCCCGCGTCCGTCCATCCCTTCTCAGAGGGTGTGTATGTCTTGGAGACACTCACAGTAAAGTCTTTAAAAACTCCACTGAAGAATTCGAAATTTGCCAGCTGCACGGTGTCAATCATGATGTCTTCACATAGCTCTACAACCACAAACTGTTTTTGTTCGGCGCAAGGACTGAGCATATACCTGTCCTTCTTTGATGACAAGATGAGGGACGGTGACTTCGCGGAACGATGGGCAGTGTGCACTCGCGCAGAGCAATCCATGGACGCATAGTTGAATCGGTCAGTGATTGGAATGCGAAAGTGAGGTGACAGCCAGTCGTCTGGCTGGTTGGCACCGACAATGTCCTGCTGTGAACCATTGGACACGGTACTGTGTGTCTTGTCAGGGCCACCAGTGCCCACCACTTCCCCGCTCGCAAGCGGAAGCACGCCGTCGCCGTTTATGCCAGCATTTCCCTGTCTACGACTGTTTCCACGAGAAGATGAACTTGGCACAGGGTCTCCGGCCTCTCCCAGTCTCTTCGCCTTCCAGTCTTCGAATGACAGCAGTACATCATCCTGCGAGGTCGTGTCGCGCGGCTCGAGGGGCGTCAGACAGCAGACCGAGGGTTCAGCACGCCTCGGTTTCTGGAGTGCTATGTTGCGAAAGGGATCATTTGACGAAGAGGGTGCCGCAACAGCCTGAATAACACATAGGGCAGCTATAGAACAAACAGACAGCAGCTTGCAGGAGAACATGAAAGCTCTAGTCCGAAAGCGTCGCCTTATCTCCCTGACCTATCCCGGAGTAAGTGGAGTCGCCGTTTAAGCATTCAAAAGCAAGGCTGGTACTGCACGACGCAGTCACCACCAAAACAGGCACGGCGAACACGTAGACTTTTGTCTCGGAAGTTGAGAGCGGTGGAAAGCATCATCATTATCATTCAATTACCACGGCCTGGACCGTACTCAATGGTACCAGTGCAGAAAATATAAGGTAAAATTTACACAATAGCCTCTTTCGAGTAGGACTGTAATGCAGATCATTAATATTGTTTCTAAGTCAACGCTCGGAACGCAAGTTACGGCCTAATTCTCTGAAGAAATTCTTGCCACTGTGCTTCCATCTTGTGACCGAGCCACCCAGTGCTCGCCGACCAACTCCATTCCTCGACGTTCCATCCGCCTCTCCCTTTTCATTTTGTGATCCTCATCTTGCCGCAACCTGACCCATTGTTGCTGTCGGGCCAGAGATAGAAGAAAGTAGCCAAAATGCAGCCAATGCCAAACCGGTTAGGACTTGGTCTTCGTCCGCCTATGCCTTCTTATGGCCAGGGTCCCTCAATTTCGGCTCTCGCACAGCAGCAGCAAATGCATCATCACCAACATTTTGTTCCCCCACAACCAAGATCTACCACCCTATTTATTGGGTCAATATCAGGCGGAATCTCAGATGGTTTCCTGAATCAACTGCTTGGGGTGAGTGCTCTCCCAACGTTGGCAATCTTTCGAGTCGATGTTCAAGTTTGCTCAGGCGTGCGGTCCAATTTCATCATTCAAACGTCTCATTACCCCGGCGAATAAGCCCCAGGGGTTTGGATTTGCAGAGTTTCAGGATCCTGACGGTGCGTTGCGAGCCATGTCACTCCTCAATGGCGTAGAGCTACCAGCATTGGAGGATGGATGTGTAAACAAAAAGCTCCTAGTAAGTGACTATACGTACATTGATGGTTGCAAGCTAACGATCGATGGCAGGTGAAGGCAGATGAGAAGACTAAGATGTTCCTGGATGCTTATCAGGCGCAGAAAATGACGACAAACGTACGTGCTTGGGAATTGTTGTATTCCTCGCTGACTTGTGCTGTGCAGGCCGACGAAGAGCTGATACGGCAGGCTAAAGCGAGAGTTGACCAACTTCTTGTAGATATCAACAAACAGTCCCAAGATGCAGCGACTAGTGGTCTCATTGATAAGGAGAAATACGTTATTCCTCCACATTTGCACGACTTACAAGAGGCCGATTTGCCTGAGACCCAGCGAGGTCTTGTCATGACAGAGATTGCCCAGTTTCGTGAACGCGCTGCAAAAAGAGAGCGAGAGAAAATGCGTGACGTCCGTGAGGCGGTCCCTAATCTGGCCGCCCCGAGCGGACCAAAGCAAAGAGAATGGGGCAAGCCGCAACTTGCAGGCCAGGGTCAAGACTCGCCACTGGAGACTTCAAAGCCCCAGCAAGGCTTTGGAAAGGGCGCGCAGGGATATAGTAAGCCAGTAGGGTTTGTGAAAGCAGAGGAGGATGGGAGGTCGCCAACCCCGGATAGCAGAGTAGTTGCCGGACGAGCGATAAAAACAGACGAGGAGCTAGAGGCAGATCGAAAAGAGACCCGACGACGAGACGAAGAGACCTCTTACCGAGATGTAAGTGTTCTGTTGTGACATTTTCGATTCCCAGCTGAATTAGAATTTACAAGCGTGAGCGCCGGTACGAGCCGCGTGAGCGGGCCAGGATACAGGCGATGGAGCGCGCTATCTTGCGAGAACGGGCGACAAAAGAGGCTGAGGACCGGGATCGGGTTGAGATGCGATCGCGCCTGGCGATCTGGGACGATGATGAAAGCGATGAACTCTTCTACACAGATAGGTGTGCCTATAGCTTCACATGAAATTCTCCCAGCTTACCGGTCCATGTCAGATCTCGGTGGCGTTCCCTACGTGCGCGACGACTTGCGGCTGAACAGGCAGCAGATGATGAGTCGCGGGGTTACGAGGAACGAGAAGTGGAGAATCTGCGACGCGAATCAGAGGCTTTCCTTGCTCGACAAATGGACGAGATGCAGGCGCTGCAGGAAGAGCAGCGCAAGGCGGGCATGCTTCTGGATGATGGTGCGCCCGTTAAGCTCAACGTGTCCCTTGCTGCGACTGCAGCTCCCAAATCCGAGACGACTGCGAAGGAGAAAGCAGTGTTCGGGCAGGAGGAAGAGGAGGAGGATGGCATTCGTAAAAGAAAGGCGCCCCTGCCGAAGCTGGATTTGGCGGAAGGCGGCGAGAAAGCGCGCGAGCGGCTTGAGATGATCAAGACAAGTGTTCCACGCGATAAAGAGACCTTATTCAAAGCCAAGGTCCGATGGGATGGCTTGTCGGATGTGCGTTTATTTCTTGCACGATGATTGACCTCCGTGCTGAACGACTTGCAGATTATGATCGATAGGAAGCTGGAGCCTCTCGTCAAGCGCCAAATGACCAAATATCTTGGCGAGTTAGAAGATGACGACCTTGTGATGTTCGTGCTTGAGCATCTCAAAGATCACAAGGGCCCACAGAAGCTGATCGAGGGCCTGGAGCCGGTGCGTCCCCTCTCAGTCATACGTCTTGATGAGCATGCGAGTTGGCCGTCTCCTGTGATACTGAACATCACCGTTTGCTAGGTACTGGAAGAGGAGGCGATGGAGTTCGCGATTAGCATTTGGAGACAAATTATCTTCGAAAGTATGGCATACGGAGAAGGCCTCCATACCGAGAGAATGATGGTCGACTGATGGACTCGATGGTTTCTCGTGCGTGGCCTCCGGAGATCGAGGCAGGTGCGTTTGCGTAGTATCAATTATTTTCCTACTAAGATGTATAAGATTCCGCGCGTTATCATATTTGTAAAGCGTGCTTATGAGTCGCCGCAAGAGGCAGGTGGGGCGGAGTGGCGGTCTGCGTCGTTGCTGTATCGTGAGTTGCACATTCGAATCAGATGCATATCGGCGAGGATGATGTGTTCCGTCTTGTTTCATGAGATCCGCTCACTCGTCGAATGTGTTGTTATTTGCTCGATAAATCCTGGATTTTACCGCCTCACGCTGAGTGCTACGCTTGCGTCTCCTCCGAGATCATTGACTGCCGGTGGTTCGGAGAGGAATGCTCTAGGGCTTTCTGAGCCGGGACTCAGGAGCATGTGCACCTGCACCCTGACTTGTCCGTGGCAAGAATAATATTCACTACTCGTGATGCGGTACGTCTTCCATCTCTGGAGGAATGCTGAACGGACTCTGTTCAGCGCAATCTATGTTTCATTGTCGTTTCTTGACGTGCGGGAAACTGGGCCAGGCGCATCTGCTTGGCTGTGATCGACTTACTCACTCTTCATGGTATCATTGAGGTGAGTCGGGGGGTCAGATTGTAAATAACGTACTATACTACAATAGAAGTCTTCGCTCCAGGAGTTATGCTACATCAGATAGTATGCCCTGCGGTCACGTTTTGCTCCCTCGTTCGCGCTCTCTGTGCATGGCGTGGACATGGCCAGTCACCGCGGGCAGTGCAACCTCCCCTCGCTTGCTCGCTTCAACCTGCTCGTGTACCTCCACCCGCACCCGTATTTCCACCGTCTTCACCGGCTGGACGTTCCCCTTCTCGTAGGCCGCATCCTCTGTGATGACGAGGTGTTGTGATTCCCTCGCAGCTATCCTCCGGCGTTGTCGATAATCTGGGCAGCCGCCGCGTCTGCTACTACATCTTTGCACCCAGTGTCCCACGACGCCGAGCAATAGGTGGCTTCTATAACTTTGCTTGGTTAGACACGATATGTGGCAGCGACCCCACTCCGCCTACCTCATCTCGGACTTGACTCCTTGGTCATCGGCGTGGTGGTTGCGTGGTAACTGCAGCATGGGAAGGTCTCTGGTCTCCGTTGGTCCCGCGATGGGAGCCGGTTGTGTTTTCGGATTGTCGGTCGCGAGCTATATGTTGCTAAGCCTTTCCCAATGCAGCAGCTGCTATGTCTGGCTGGGCGCACTTGTGGTCGTCTCGAGGAATGCTGGGCTATGTGGTTGTAGGGAAGCATCACTTACAGGCTCCGTACGCAGTCCATGGGAGCAGATGGGGCCCTTCACTCCTCTCTAGCCTCGCGCTCTTTTGGATATGGGCAGCTGCGCCCATTGGGCTGCCCTGCCACGGGGCGCCAATCTGCTGTGGGTGGGGCCGACTTGCATCCTTTAGGATACCTCGACTCTCACTGGGGCTTTGAGGGTGTGTCGATGGCGTGGAGGTGGTTGAATATCTGACATGCGGGATGACGCCTTGGTGCGGACTCGGAGCGCGCGTCCGTAGTCGGCGGAGACCGAAGCCGCATACAGCGATACCCTGTATCTGCCCCGGGTCGGTTCCTGGTCCTCGGGGCACATACAAGCCTCTGAGTGGTGATGATTGGGACTTGAGCTTCGCGCTCAGGTACGGTACATGATTCTCATACATAATAGTGCGAGGGTGGGGTTGTAATCCGACTCCGTGGAACGATAGCCGACGAGTCTCATGCCTGTCGGTGTGGTCTACGAGCTCATTCTTCCGTGTCTGGTCTCTATCTGATGAGACTGCTCCTAGCATGGAGCTTCTGTATGACCGTGACAGTCTGAGGGAGATCGAAGACCTCGCCGCCGATTGTTCGACCGAGACGAGGGCATGAGTCAAAATGTGGTTTCTAATTGCCAGTGGTAGCTTTCAGTCAGACGGTGTCTTCTTTGTGCAAGTGCAGGAATCCACACACAGCGCTCCAGGTTACATTGAAGGCTGGACGCAATCAACTCATACGCGTTGACAGGACTGATGGACTAGTGTCAGCCCGCATGTATTCGAGGTTTCATGTTATCGAATTGTTCTCAGGAGCTTCCCGGGAATTTTTTTCCCGAGTATATAAAGATGGATATCTCGCAGGCCAAAGAGCCGTCGCAGCACTGCTAGGTGTTTCCTGTTACTGCTTCAGTTTGGCTTCAATTTCAAAATTCAGCAAGGACCTTGTGGCGTCAGCACTGATTGCTGTTTCAGGAAGGTGAGTAGTAAGGGTTGGCAAAATACAGATGAGCGGCAATAGAGTCTAATGTGCCAGTGAGCACGTTTTAGTTAATCAGGTTATGGCAGTTCTTGATCAATCCTGTACTGCACTCGATGTCTATTGGGATGCTTCCATAATGTACTGTTCGTGAACGCCGGCGGCTTGTAGCGTAGCACCAGACTTGATGCGCGTGTCAGCAGGTTGGACTTTTTACATTTGGATGGTTGTGCACGAGAGTGGTTTATTTAAAAGCCATTTTGTCGCTCGTGTCTAGGACGTGGGCCATACGGACATATGTCGCCCCAACGAGGCTGTGCCGGTGACGAAATTCTGCAGTCAAGCGGCATCAGAAGGGGATGGACCCATGGAGAGTGCGCAGAGCCGCCGACCGACTCGGATCGGGTACCTGGCTCATCATTGCACTCGCCACACGGTCTCCCGTCTGAGCAGATCGGGGGCAAGGAAAACCTGCATAAATGTGGTGAGCTGCGATTTTATCTCGGAGTCGCAGAGCAACTCATGACCATCCTGAATGGGTGCAGAAAAATGAGCTTGGACATAATGTGGCCACTTGGAGCCGCCACCCCCGGCCAGATGAGATGAGATCGCTACCCCAGACTCCAGGCTGAATGAATGCACTTGCAAGTACTCCCGCTCATCGTCTCCGGGGCCGGCTCGTGCCACTGGGCTAAACTTATCCTCGCAACTACTTTCAGCCCGTTACCGACGTCGATGTCGTCTGGCGGAATGCACAGCGTCCCAGTTTGTGTCCTGCGCTGGCGGTCAGCAGACCATCTCCGCGGTCAGTGCAAGGCGCTGGCATGGGGTCACACGCACCCGCGCCCGCGCCCTCGTCCTCCCAGAATACCATGGCTGATCGGAGAAATATTTCAATTCGGCTACTTTTCCTCCTCGCTCAGTATAAGAGCGCGGGCTGACGCCTTGGCCCTTTTCGACACCGTCCTTCGAGCCAGGTCAATATGTGGGCTGCAACGGCGGCAACCCTCTTCTGTCTCCTGCACGCTGTAGTTGCTGCCCCGCAGGCCACCACTACGGGTGCAGACACCACCCTGCCTTCGATCACGACCCAGACAGCGACAGCGTCGGCAGCCACCCCGTCTGCTCCCATCCCGTCAGAGGAGCCCCTTCCTCCCGTCCAGGCATGGTGCCCCAGCCAGATCTTCTGTCCCGGAGCGGTGCGTCGTGCCCTGGCGTCCCCGCTCTCCCCCTCATTTTCCCCGTTCTAGATACTGCAATCCGTCGACCTCGCGGACGTCTACACCGACCCCAAGGTCATCGTCGACAAGCCCACCTCTAAGCGTTCCCAGCAGGTGCTCTCCGACTTCAGCGCGATCTATGGCACAGGCTCCAATGTCATCACCGAAGAGGACATCGTCAACTTTGAGGACAACGACTTCCGTGGGGAGGGGCTCGAGATGGAGGCCATTGCCCTCTCCAACTTCAACGCCAACCCAGCCTTCCTCAACAACGTCACCGATAACCTCCTCAAGGCTTGGTCACAGACGGTCAGTGGATATTGGGTCGACCTCGTGCGCCAGACCAACTACTCCGCAACCTGCCCCTACGGCACTGAGAATGGCCCCTGCGAGGGTACATTCATCCCGCTGAACCACACTTTCGTCATTCCTGGCGGTCGTTTTCGTGAACAATGTAGGCGTCTTGCTTTACATACAGAAAGTGCCCACCTAATGCATTCGTAGACTACTGGGATTCCTACTGGATCATTCAGGGCTTGATGGAATCCGAGCTGTATGAGATTGCAAACTCGACCCTGCAGAACTTCATGGACGAGATCCAGACGTTCGGCTTCATCCCAAATGGTGGCCGTATTTACTGTGAGTACATGCGGCTGAAATGACTTTACTCACACCCTCACATCATACCTCAGACCTGGATCGTTCTCAGCCCCCACTGTTTGTGCGCGTGAGTTAACTTTATCTCAGCTGTAAAGGATATCGTTCTGATTCTGCTGTATAGATGGTGTCCGACTACGTTACCACCACTGGCGACACCTCTGTCCTGGAGCGCGCCATTCTCTCCGCCGAGACGGAGATGCAGTGGTGGATGAACAACAGGTCTGTGAGCGTGACAAGTCCGTACACGAACAAGACATACACTGTGTTCCGCTATGACGTCAACAACTCGGCGCCCCGCCCAGAGTCGTACATTGATGGTGAGACGAACTCTCCCGTGCCGCCGCTAACATTGGTGGCTGACGCGATGGATAGACTATTCGACCGCCTTCGACCCGACCCTGCCATCGTTGAGCGAAGACCAGCGTTCATCCCTCTATGCGAACCTCGCCAGTGGCGCAGAGAGCGGTTGGGACTTCTCGTCTCGTTATGCTGCACAGCCATTTGCCGGCGGAAGTAACAATACCAACCCCATTCTTCGCTCGTATAACATCCGGAACACTATCCCAATCGACCTGAACTCTATTTTGTGTAGGCGGTCTTCCTCGCGTAGGGTCCTCGATACTAACTCGTTCTGTAGACAAGGCGCACATGCTTTTGGCGGGCATGTACAACTCAACAGGGAACACGACTGCGGCAGGGTCACATCTCGCGACAGCTGCATCGCTGCGTGAGGCTGTACTTGACCTCTTCTGGGACTCCCAAAAGCTCGCATTCTACGATTTCAACCTGACTTCAAACTCGCGCAATACCCTGTTCAGCGCCGCAACGTATTTCCCGCTCTGGAATGACATTGTCCCCGATGAGCTGCTCGAGTCTTCAGAGAATGCTTTCGGGTTCTTCTCCGCTGTGAACATGGTGATGAACCGGTACAACGGCTCCTTCCCGGTCACCTTCCTCCAGAGCGGTCTTCAATGGTGGGTGCTTCCTGCTATGAACGGTCGTCCACTACTTACCATCGCATTGCGCACAGGGACGCGCCGAACGCGTGGCCACCGCATCAGTACATCATTCTGCAAGCGCTGCGCGCGCTCCCGGATAATGTGACGAGCGGCGCACTGCCAACGCCCGCGTCGAACGCGTCGACTTATTCGCTCATCCCTGCCGGCCAGCTCAACGTTGCGGAAGCGGACCTCCCGGGGCAGCCGGTGATCGGCACAGGCAGGAACGCGACCGCGACGGGCCCCGGCGCGGACGTGAGCCGGCTCAGCGGGACGGTCGTAAATGGCGGGAATGCGACGGCTGGTGAGGGCTGGGGACATGCGCTCCAGCGCGAGGTCGCAAACAGATACTTCTCGAGCGCGCTGTGCAGCTGGTGAGTGCCGTGTGCTTCCGCGCACTGTGGGCGGGGATTCTGACGGTTGTGGTGCGCGCAGGCATGCTACGGGAGGCTCGATCCCGGGTGTGCTGCCCAGGCTGTCGGACCAAGAGCTGAACGTGACGCAGAGCATTAACAACACCGGTAACGTACGTCGTAGTCCTAACTATGCTCTGCTCCGCGTCGGATACGCGCTCACCGTGTTTGCAGATGTTCGAGAAGTTCAACATCACCGACGTCGACTCGTCCGGTAGTGGAGGAGAGTACACTGTCCAGGTGAGTGCCGTGCGCCCGCACCCGAACGCGCCCTGATTGATCTTTATTGCCCAGGCTGGTTTCGGATGGACGAACGGCGTCGTCCTCTGGGTCGCCAGCACTTACGGTGACATTCTGGTCGCGCCCGACTGCCCTGACCTCCTTGCGATCGTCAACGGCACCTCGGCCAAGACGACGAGCGCTGCGGCATCGGGACCCGCACAGGCCTCCGCGCGCGCGATCGTGCTCGGGACAGCAGTCTCTGTTCTGGTCGCGGGTCTCCTATTGTGAACGATATAACTGTAGACGAATGGGTAGACGACGAGCGATGATAGGACGTTCTTAAAATGACGGCGCATGGACCACGTACGTTTACGAGCGGTTGTGAGAGTAGAGATGGGCTTTGTTGGTGCTTACGAGCTTGTGCTTCCGAGTTGTATGTGTACAAAAAATGTGGTTAATCTGAGACTTTTACGACTTTTCTGAGTTTTGGCAAGCGTAAATTTGTATGTGGTCGTAAGGAAGCTGTTGATGTCCTCCGGAAACATTCATATATTAGAGGCCCTACGCTCAGCTCGGGCGAACGGTTGGGGACTGACAGTGACTCGATTCTGGCAATGCCCCGCCAAACACGTGATCGCCATTTTGGGCGCCTACCTGCCCGTAAGTAACACGCGATGGTCTTCAGCCACACTTCAGACCATTTGCTCCTCCGTGCTCTCCTCTCTCAGTCGTGCGCTTCGACGGCTCTTCTCTCTCCGTATAACGCCCTTTGACACATCGCTCTGTTTCTGTGGACATGGCCGTCTCCGCGGCCGCGAAACGAGCGATATTTGATGGTGAGCCCCATGGCGACTCTGCGTGGGGCGTCCTTGTTGACTGACACCTTGCTCGTCCGCCAGTCGCGCTGTTTGTCGTGTCGCAAGTGCGTTCTTCTAGCTGTTCTGCGGGTGTAGCTGCTGAGAGTGTGCGGTAAGGCAGCCTTGTATTACACTGTGCGAGTGAGTGGCCTCATGGGATGGACCTGTGGCATGATACTGACCCTCGTCTTCTGCTTCGATTGCAGTGGGTGGTGGATAGCATGGGACACGGAGAGAGGAAGGAGGTGAAGGCAAAGAGCCTGAAGGCTCTGGAGAAGCTGGGGCACAAGGATCTGAAGCTAGACGAGTACGAGAGTGCGTCTACGTTCTGCCGCAGCGTGGCCAGGGAGACGTATTGATGCGCGACTTCGATCTGCAGAGCAGATTGCTTCGGAGGTTATACACCCGGACGACATCGAGGTACGCTTTACAGGTACGTGTCGCTGTCCCATGAGCCTCGCGCATTCGCCGCCGACCATCTGCCTACAGATATCGGCGGCTTGGAGCCCATAATTTCGTCCCTGCGCGAATCCGTCATATACCCCCTCGTATACCCGCATCTGTTCAGCTCTTCCTCCCTTCTGGGCGCGCCCAAGGGCGTGCTCCTCTTTGGTCCGCCAGGATGCGGAAAAACCATGCTCGCAAAGGCGCTCGCGAAGGAGTCCGGCGCCACGTTCATCAACATCGCCGCGTCGGTGCTGACCAACAAGTGGTACGGCGAATCAAACAAGCTCGTCGCAGCGCTGTTCTCGCTCGCGCGGAAGACGCAGCCGAGCATCGTCTTCATTGACGAGATCGACTCGTTCCTGCGCGAGAGGACGAAGGGCGACCATGAGGTCACAGGTATGATGAAGGCGGAATTCATGACGTACGTCCCTCTCGTCTGTCCACCGGGCTGCTGTCTTTTCATGAGCGCGATCGTAGCCTGTGGGACGGCCTTTTGTCAAGCACAGACCGCATACTCGTGCTTGGAGCCACGAATCGGCCAAATGACATTGACTCTGCCATATTGCGACGGATGCCCAAGCGATTCTCCGTCGGGCTCCCCGATCTCGAGCAGCGACAGAAGATCCTCTCGTTGGTATGTGCTGATCGCCCCGACGATCTCTCTCGCGTGGCTGCTAACTCTCTCGGCGACACACTCTCTTACAGATGCTAAAGGACACGGACCTGGACAAGACGTTCTCGCTACACAGACTTGCGCAGGAGTCTGAAGGTCTCTCGGGCTCGGACCTGAAAGAGCTCTGCCGCAACGCGGCCATGCGCCCGATGCGCGAGTTCATTCGCGAGGCGGGCGACGACCGCGAGCTGCTTGCGCGGTGCCAAGAAGATGTACGTGCCCCGTCTCTGTTGACTAGCTGCGAATCCGACGCTGACGCCGCGACAATTTACAGGACTTCAGACTGCGCGCGCTGACGCTGGGCGACTTCTTCCAGTCTGACGGGACGAGCGCGCTGCCACCGGCGAACCCGCTCGATGAGGTGTCGTAGGACGAGATGCTGAGAAATGGGCTCGTGTTGCTGACGATTTCCAAGTTGATGCGACCGTATGTTATTATGATGTGCGCGCGGATATGTAGAGCAGCGCGCTTAATGATTTATTCTCTTTGGGATGCCCTCGTGCGAGGGTGGTTGGCTTTTATGATACACGTACGGAATCAGAATTTGCGCTCCCGGATCATGACTATGTGAGCGGGTGTTCTCTTACGAGTTGAGATTGTAAGTGTCGTATTCGCTGAGGCCCACTGTAGATAGATCTGTGGGGAGCACTAGTCCTCGGGACAGTCGTCTTATATCGCTCCATGGCTGAACAGAATCATCGTGGTCTGCTCAGACGGCGCTCTCCAGTTATCCCCAGTACCTCGTTCATTCACATTTTGTCCTACATTATACATGCACGCCTTCCTCCGCTCAAGGCGCGGCGATGCTGAATGCTGCAGAAGCTGGCCCAAGACTACCATGGAAGCTGTGATGTCTAGCGTAAGTCAAGTATCCGAGCAATGCGCAAAATCACTTTACGTGGTCACCGAGGGAATCAAATCATAGCCAGACCTGGGGACCGAAAGGTATGAGGTGGGTGGCATCGCCACAAACGAGGAAGAAGGGGCACATACGCAGGGGGCACGTCCGGTAACGTGAAGCTCGCATAGCATGCGCATGACTCGACGTAGTTGGCGAGCACCCATTGATCCGCCTGCTGCGTGGTCTGGTTGTATATGTTCAAGATGATGGCGAACTGCGTGGGGTCCCCGATGCTGGCTGTCCAAGTGAGGGAGGCAGGCTCGCCGCTCACCCAGTCGGTAGGGGCACTGAACGTGTAGCCAAAGGGCAGATCGCTAACGCAGCATTGTGCGGCGACGAGAGGCAGTAAGGCTATAAGGGCACTGTACGCGGGGGTGGAGCGTTAACATGGGAAAGGTGGTGTATTAGCACGAACATACCCGAACTTGACGAGCATATCCTCTTTCTGGCCGAAAATCAGCACGGTGAACGGGTGGCCTGACAAACATTTGGATTATATAGTTGGGAACGACCTCCATCAAAGCGCAGTGTTAAAGTCGACTAGACTGCTTGAAAGCGCAGTGATGGCCGTCTATAAGCTTGACAGATTCGGGAACACGGTGCTAATGTATACCTCCAATTCCACACCCTTATTCTATTCCCTGACGAATGTCAGCATCATCTGAGTGGGTTTTCAACTGGAGCCTTTCTCTGACTTGCGAGATTTGTTCCCAGGCCGGTCTTCAATGTCATCTAAAGGAAAAGATGAATTCTCTGTCGTGGTTTGCAGTGATGCGGATGTATTTCGACGAGCTCGGGGATGGGCACTCCGGGTGAGAAAGGCTGTCACTACTGGTTTCAGCGCGCATTGGCCAGGCCCCAAGTGGGCCTCCGGGATCCTTGAGATACACCACTTGAATTGAGACCGTTCTCCTCTACTCTGTCTACTCTACCAAGAAGTCTAGCCTACGGGAGACACTCAACTACCAAAATGTCCCTCGTTGAAGCTGCACTGAAAGCAGATACCGCAGATGCGTTTAGTCAGGTTCCAGTAATGTACCGTACATAGTCTTCTGCTCCGAAGTGATTGTCGGCAAGTCAATCGTACTCAACCGACACCTTTGTCATAGAGACCTCAAGGATGCATCTAGTACAGACCCCGCCGTGCGTAGGGCTCTCGGCGCTGCTATCAGGGACGTCTGTATAAACGTCGGATTCTTCTACGGTGCGTGTGGCCTCTCAGTTTCCGTATACATGCGCCGAGCGGGCATCGGCCTGAACGCAGTTTGCAACCACGGAATCTCCCAACGCACGATCGACAATGCGCTAGCTGCGATGACGGAGTACTTCTCCCTCCCACTGGATGAGAAGATGGAGGTGCACCACGAACGTTCCCCTGAGGCTGCATGGACGCTGACATCGACCCCCTTGCCCAGCTCGACATGCGGAAATCGCCAAACTTCAAGGGCTACAACCCCGTGTTGAGCAGCAACAATGACCCCGTGAACAACGGCGACATGCACGAGGGCTTCGAGTTCGGCTGGGAGGAGCTGCAGGCGAAAGAGTCGGACGAAAAACGCGCCAACGATGGTGTCATGGCGGGCGTGAACGTCTGGCCCAGGGCTCCCGCCGGTTTCAGAGAAGCCGTGCTTGCGTACTAGTGTGTCTTTCTCACCTGCTGCGTCTAAGATCTCGACGGCGAGCATGTTGTCAGCCACGCTGCGGTCACGCTCGGGAAGACTATGTTTCCCTTGTTTGCCCTAGCTTTGGATCTCCCAGAGGAATATTTCGGCGACAAGGTGGGTGTATACAGCGATCCCAGCACGCTGCTTTCGATATGCATGGCCTTGACAATGATCGCATTTTGTTGCAGACCAAGAATTCCGCTGCCCTCATGCGCGTCCTCCATTATCCGCCCCAGACCGGGCCTGTGGACGACAGGGTAATCGGTATCGGGGCCCACACAGAGTGAATTTCTCTCCGGCTGCGGCTGGTTACGTGCGCTAACGAGCTGGCACTTACCCAGTTTCGAGGTATGAAACCTGGATCGCTGCAATGAGCCTGGCCTGACATCCCACATCGGCCATAGTGCTTCACGATTCTTTGGCAGCAGCCTGAGATCCAAGCTCTGCAAGTCCTGAACAAACAAGACAAGTGGATCGACGCACCGCCCACTCCAGGAACACTGGTTGTAAAGTGTGTACTTGTCATGGGCCTTACAGCGTGATGCTAAACGTAAGCTGTTGCTATCTCATATAGTTTGGGCGACCAGTTCGCGCGCTGGACAAGTGAGGCATTTTCATTGCACATATACTCATTTCTCACATCTATACAGACGATGTGTTCAAATCGACTGTTCATCGTGCTGTCAACCGGAGCGGCGTCCGGCGATACTCCATTCCTCTTTTCTTCGGCACCGACTATGACGTCAGACTAGAAGTAAGTCAAATTGTTGCGAGTCCTACCGCAAGACTAATGTATGCACTAGCCAATCTCAAGCTGCGTTTCCGAGGATCGTCCACCGAAATATGAAGTTGTCGCCGCAGGCGACTACGTCAAAGCGAGACTCAAAGCGACATACGGTCATTGAGAAGGCATACGGGAGAATTTCCTCTCAGTTGGGTAGAAAGAGATTAGCAAGAATGCTGTAATATCAGTGAAGCTGGGGAGTTTGTCCATGTGTGATTCTCAAATTGAAGTAGTGGTGAGCAGGCACACCTGTACCTAATATATGATATCAGTCAGCCCTCACTATCTAAAGAGCTGGCTTTCATTGAGCCATCGGTGTCATGTCCCGACCTGCTAAAGTGGCAAATAGCGCAAAATTCGCCGTCTTCTGAGTTGATTCCCACCTTCGAATTCCGCTATCGACTTTCCGAAAAGTGTCCGACTTCAGGCATTGCGTAGGGCCCTCGATTGCAGTTGGCAGAATCGGTGATTCTAACGGTCTGAGTACAGAAACATGGGTTGCAAAATATTAATGGTACTACCTCCATATTCCAACCATGAAAAGTCAAGTAGGATCTCAATTCATTCAGGGGTATACGGTGTTACGTAGAGAGGGCATTGACTACCCTCCATGTGTTTGCCCACCACATACGGTCTTGTCAAGACGCTGTGGACGCAGTATATCAATCTCTCGCATTCTCAACGGAGTACTGAACACGAACACATTAGCTTTTCCGACCTGCTCATTTGTTGGTGCGAATACGAAGTTGGTGAGCAAAATATACAAGAATGTCTTTATCTCAATGATGGAAAAGCGCATGCCGATGCACGACTGGTCAAGACACCAATAAGCACAGACGTCCGCAATATCAACCGATCCAGCACGGAGAACGTACCCGGGGTCCAGCTGAGAAGGTCAAAGTGTTGTTATACAGACCGGGCTGAGAAGTGACGGCTTCTGGAAGGCTGTCCCATCGATCGGGACTGGTAGCGATCAACCACCGTGCCAACATACTTGCAGAAGTTTTGAAAAACTCACTCGAATGTCCATGCATCCGGTCCCCAAACCTCCCGGTCTAAGTTGAAGCCCTCCACAGGGACATGAATGAAAGTGCCTTTTGGCACCCGCACACTCATTAGCTCCGCGAAGCTTCCGTCCGGGCAGCGAGTCTTGACTGGAACCGACGTCGGCACGACGTCGTCCTGCATTGCAACCCGAATGGACGAGTGAACGGGCGGGATGAGCCGGAGCGACTCGCGGATGACATTCTCGAGGTACGGTAGCTCCGCGATGGCGGCATACAGAGACGCCACTTCGTCCTCCGTCAGCGCAGAGAGCGGTGCGGCAGAGGACACTGCGCGGAGTTCAGTCCGGAGCCGGTCCTGCATATGCGGGAAACGTGCGAGAAGGTACAGCGTCCAGGTGATCGATAGCGAGCTGGTGTCCGAGCCGGCAAACATGAACGTGTTGATGTTGTGCAGGATGTCGTCGTCGGAGATGCGCTGTTCGGGAGGGAGGTCAGCTGCGGCATTAGATTTTACTGGTGATACTGTCAGTCTCACGTAAGAAAAGTTGATGGGAACACATACGAAGAAGGGTGAGCAGATCTTTCCCCTGGTATACAGTGCCCTTCTCCTCTGCGTCCGCAATCTTTCGTTTTTTCTCTTGCACCAGGTCACCCGCGACTCGTCGAATGACTTCCTGGCATCTCTTCACAGTGTGTGCTGCCCTGTTCGGCTACTCGAGGTTTGGTCAGCATTCTAGAGGTATAAGGTAGTGACTACGCACGAATAACACGTTGATAATAGGAAAGTAAATAACGAATAGACTCCTTAGCGACCCACGTTGTTGTGAAATGGCGACCTCGAACATCTCCTTATACGCGTTGAAGAGCTCGTTCGATTCACTTTGGATAGCATTGAACTGATAGTCAAAGCCTACACGTAGACATAGGCCTTCCGCGAACCAAAACGAAAATGACGAACACTTACCTGCAGAGCCGATCACGTCGAATGTCGCCCGGCTGATCCAATGGCACACATCAATACGCTCTTTCGAGATCTCCTGCCCGTCCTTTGTCTCTTCGGCAGTGCCCGACTGAGCAATCATGGTTGACCATTTTTCCTTCAGCTCATTGCCTTTCGCGAACACTAGTGGAACAAGTGCTCGAAGGTTCTGAACAGAAAAAGCCGGCGTCGCAACGCGTCGTTGGCGTTTATGTACCTGGCCCTCTGCAGCAAGCATCCCGCATCCTATCAAGCCCGTGATGAGCCGTCGAGACGGCCACGGCTTCTCATACATCTGCGAATGCTTGAGAATGTGCCCGAGCGTGACGGGGTCAAGCGTGAATAGACGTTGATCCCACTTTGTGGCTCGCGCGTGAGCCTCAGCAGTCACTACAATAAGATTCACATACGGGAAACAGGGCATGAATCATGACATTTCGCCCATAATCTTTGACGAACATCTCGTGTGTTCTAGGAGATCTAGCCGGACTGGAACGCGGAATGACGTTGAGAATTGGGTGGATTTGCGGGCATACATGCTGCATTAGAGCTATTACTCACTTCATGACCATAGAGAGCTGCTCGGAGAATAGTCCATGGCTGGGCGGGCTAGGAATGTTCCTGAGAGGATTATAGCGGGGCTCTATGAGGACGAAGTAGATGAGATATGCGAGGGAAAGGACCAGAATGGCAACAATCAAGCTAACAAGCATCGTCGACGGGCTGTTCAACAATTCCCGTACTCTGCGCCTGCGAGCACAGTTTAAAACGAAAGCCGCCGGGCACTGCCAGTAAGGGTGTGGGTTGCTTTGTGTGGAAGACAATAAGCAGAGGAGCTCTAGGCGCGACAACGGACCGAGACTAGAATCAATCTGGCCAACGACGTCGAGATGAAGACAACACGCAGCTTCAAGCTAGCGAGAAGACAGACGTACTAAGTCCTGTAAGTCAGTAGTGACCTCGTCAACGTTCACATCAAGTAGAGGTCCATGCGCCGGCTGACTTTGCGCGCGTCAAGTTTAACTTCGTAAATGGCGCCTTCAATCAAACAACAAACCATCTTATCTCCTTACTATCATGGCGACCCGTGTTCGGACACTTCATATCACCGTCCCTCTGATCAGATTTTTGTCATTCGCATCCCCTCCAACAATATTAATAACGATCTCAAGGTGGCCACTGAGCACACAATCCGTGTCCACTGAGACAATATTTTTTGGTTCTCTCCTGCTACTGTATCGCCTCTGGATGTTTTAGCGGCACGGAAACATGATCCCATTCCAGACTGATGTCACTGATCGTGACTCGCTGCGCTCGCTAGCAGCAGAGGTTAAGTCTCGCCACGGACATGTCAACCTGCTCGTCAATAATGCGGGCGTGATGTTGGGGCACCAGCCTCAGCTCCCCAAGCCTGCGGACACGAGCATTGCTGCGTACCAGGAGCTCTTATGGAACACGGAGGACTTCGATTCATTCGGGACCAGTTTCCGCGTGAACGTCTCCGGCGTGTGGTTCTGTACCGTGGCGTTCCTCGAGCTTCTGCATGCGGGGAACAAGTCGGAGTGGGCGCGCACGAACGGCGTGACAAGCCAGGTGCTGACCATCTCAAGTCTGGCCTCCCTCCGTAGGGACTCAGGAGTGTTCAGCTTGTCGTACTCGCTCAGCAAGGCAGCAACAACGCATTTGAGTAAGGTGGTGGCGCATTATCTGAAAGACTGGAAGATCCTGGTCTCGTGCCCAGACGTGTCGAGCGGGCACGAGACCAATCATCTGTACTCGACAATATATCGCAAGAATTCAGAGTGATGGTTTCGTCCGGTTTGCGTGAAAATAGACCTCGCTTGTGATGAACTTGTAAGCGGCACTGCTCGCGCGAAGTCAATTGTCTGTCTTCCAGGGATCAACTCAATGCCGACTAGGTAGAGAAGATGGTCGCACAGAGCTGGTGCAAACTCTGCCCGGAGAACTCTGCCTCTCTGATGAAGAACATGAGGGTGCCGATGATCGCCGATCCATCATTCCGCTGATTTGAGTGGTTTAAAATTCGTCAGTTCAATATCTAGAGGGTGGATCAGGTCAATGACATGCACAACTCAGCCTGTTTCAGCAGTAAATTCGCACTCACAAGTTATTCGAACTTCCTGAGAAGGGGGATTGGGAGGAACTTTGTGCAGACATTGTAACCCGACGATGAGTTAACGCAAGTCAGAGATAGAGGATGTACCGTGCCGAAAGGGACAAGATGGCCAGAATGTTCATCATCATCGTCCTAGCTGCTATGGAAGACGCTCAGTGCGCATGCTCGCATGTAGAACGCATGTAGGTGGCCAGTCGTGCGGTGGTCAGATACACGAGGCAGACCGTCAGACATATCATGTTGGAACCGTATCACCTCGTGTAGCAATCGAAGAGTAATAATGGCCGCGATGTTCTCACGTCTCTGGTTCGAGAAGTTGGCAGCAATTGAAGTCTATTGACCACATGCAGCCAGATAAGGAGCAAGAGTGTATGGCCACACGGATAATAACGTAGACATAGTCGACCATGTCCACTCGTACGGAGGCTGAAAGGGTTACCAGATTAGAGCAGACGCTGACAGTACGAAAAGACTGTCCAAGCGAAGAGATGGGTAGACACAGTCCAGTACGCCAGAGCAGAGTACAGTTGAATGGAGATGTCGGAAGCAAGCGCCATCGACGTGAAACCTTGAAGCTTGAAGCTTTGAAGCTTTGGTCCTGCACAAGACGAACGTGGGATAGGAAGACCTGCTGTCAGGCTCGCGGCAATACATAGTGGCTAGACTTCCTCCAGGCCGCCACGCCGCATCGATGGGTTACGTTGTGCTTGCGCTGTAGCGGCTCTAACTCGCCCCTCGCGCCGTTGGTCGGCGCAGTGCAGAAATATCATAGAAGAGGATCGAGACTTATACTTATTGCCATAACACCTCTCTCATTCCCTCCAGGCACTACTAACGGCAGGCGGCCGCAGGATCCTGGGCTCTCGTCAGTTCTATCAGCTCCGGAGACGCGGCCGTCGCCGCGGGTGCGATTCTGCTTGAGCAGGTCTAAGTAAACAAATGGGTGCGGGGAGGTGTTATCCGGTTCAGTATCAACTCCAGGCCGTGGCGTCCCAACCGCGGCCAGCTTCCCGAATCCTTGTGAGTTCGCTCAGCTCGTCGGAGAGGACTTGAGCTAGCGCGAGAGGTCGCTCCAGACTACATGCGGACGTCGCAGAAGGACAGGCTGAAGAGCGCCCGGCTCAGCGAAAGGTTTTCAACGAGAGCATGGACGCGTTGATCAATAACGCATGTTGGCCTCATCCGCTTGCTTGAGACGTCTGTGAATGATTAATGCAGCCTGAAAAGCAATATTCCCGGACTAGGATCGACGTTCATAGCTCATCTTTTTCCCGCCTGAGAGCTTCACCACTGTAGACAACCGAAAAGATCGGCACTCGGCATCCAATTCCCACTATACCGTCCTTCCCATCGGTCCTATGGTCGAAGCCTAGCGGAACACGCATAAAGATTCGATGAGAGGCCAGCGCAGCGGCAAATGGGTACGACTATATGCGCAAGTCGGACGTACAGGACTCTGATAGCCGCGGACAGGCCGAGAACAAGAAGGATCAGAAGGCAGATGGAACTGTGAAGACGTCGACCAACAGCTCGCGACGCGACCCGCGTGTACAACTTCCTCCTCCTCCTCAAGCATGCTCGCTAATGCTCAAGCGCTCATGGTCAAGGTCCGGAATTCGCCGAGACGTCGCTGCTGTGAAGAAGTTGGTGAGCCCTGGGTTGATATGTGCAGAAGCAGACGTGGCCTTGCCGTTCTTAGATCAGCGTCGTCGCGCACCAGGCTGTACGAATCCGGAATTTGTTAGCGGTGTTTTGCTGCTGGCTCCACTGTCGCTATAACAGCGCCTTTGTTCAAGTCGCCGCAATAGCCATATAGTCGTCGTCGTCGGTTCGAGGGTGGATTCTTTTTCAACCAGCCCGAGCGGCGATGCTGTTCTATCACTATCCCGTGCTGTCTTCTCGCAGCCACTCCCGTTCGGTCCACTCTGATGCGTCTCATTGGTGTGTGTTGTTTAGTAAGTCCTGAGATCTCCCATTGTTACATGAATCGTCTCGCTACATGAGGCAAGCTACTTTGCCTGAGACGGACTTGATTAGATACTCAGTACCTAATTTTGCAAGCAGGGTATCCATATATGACAGATGAGCAAGGGATGACTTAGTTTGGGCGTGGGGAATGCGGTACGACACTCACTTAGCAACATTCTTTGTTAAGTCGTATTCATGCACATATCGATTGCCGATCGTCAGCGGTACGTCTCCCTCATTCATGCTCGCAAACATTTTGGTTGAATCAGTTCCTCCTGCGGTTCCCGGCCGCCGTCGTGGTGTTCGTATTGTCTTCAAAAAGAGGTAAGGTAGTATGCTTTTGTCTTCCGAGCCAGTCCCATTCTGTACGCATATTGTACCTCATCTCTTGTTCACTGCATCGACGTGAATGAGCATAACCGGATGGTAGTGTCCGCACATGATGAACGCGTGGTACTATGGCATTGGTATCAGTTCACTCCTTACGATCGTTCCTACCATTCCAGACCGCTATAAACCAAGATCATATGCTCCATCAGTTCATATGATTCTCACCATCAGCTTATCATATGGCTTAGCTTTTCCTATCGAAGTAATCTTCTACTCTCACGGACACTATGTGAATGAGACAGTTACGTTTAGATTCTCATTGCGTCTTGTGTGTGACACTTAATCTCCGTGGTTAGTCGATTCATATGCCTCGAGGCTTACCTCGTGCAACAGGAATTCGGACATGGCACTCCGACTTCGCCATGAGGTGGTCATGATAACGTCCACAATAAGGGGTTTGGTCAGTCGTCTGACCTCCCGTCGCTGTACCTCGTCCGCTGTTCCGTGCCAG